CCCCCCCCCCCCCCCCCCCAGGAGACAAAGGGATGCTTTAAAAGGCTGTGTGTATGCGTGCGTCCGTGTGAGAGTTTGGGTTTGCACTTCGGCCTGAATACGCCACTCGCGCATTCCTGTGGCGCATAATCGTCCTCTCATTTTTGCGTTAACCCAGCAATTGGGCCCTTAACGAGGTTACAGCGGCCATTCCAGGAATTTTCTTTTAAGGGTTGAGTTTTCTCCAGGCTACGAGAGAGAGAAGCTCCAGTTCCAGGAGAAATGTTAGGGTGATGTTCAGCAGCACTGTAGACTCAATTGATTTACTGTGTCGGCAGGCGAAAGGTCGCTTCACAGGGGAGGAACCGTGAGGATGGAGTGGGTTTTATTGTCTGAATGAAAAAGCACTTCCTCAGGTTCAGTCGCTTTAACCCCCTGGGGTGGGGGGGCTCAACGGAGGCTCGGCAGTGGCCATATTAGCTCCGTTAAAGGTCTCGGGAGGACAGCTGGGTGACAGAGGTCGTGGCGGCGAGGGAGGGGGTTGGAGGCCATGGTAAGTGGTTGCCATGGTGATTGCGGGGACCCCTGCGGATGTCGCTCTCCTCGTCCGATGGGACCATTATTATAATTTTCTACCTGCAGCTGTTTTTTTATTTATTTTTTGGTTAACTTCCTTACGTTCCGAAGTTAATTTCTCTCCGAGTGTCACTCAGAAAAGAAAACAGTCACTCCGCCTTAAAATGCGTAGTCGGATGCCAAAAAAGGCGGGGTCTGAGGTTTATGCAAAAAGATAAAAAAGTGTTAACACAGCTTTGTTGTGCGAATATTAATCCACAACTAATACTAATCCACAACTAACTGAATTATGCCCACGCTCAAGGCTGAGCCGTGTTCCTTCCATTAACTTCGGGCTGCATTCAGACAAAAAAAACCTCCACAGAAGAAAAAGAAATGCGCACATCCGTTTGAGCATATGAGGGTTCTCATCGTGAGGGAAGGTGCAGATTTTGCCACCAAAAAAACCCACATATTTAGTTTACTTAGTTGTCTCTGTGCTGAGGTGCATTCGGCAAAGTAAAATATCGAACATGTTCGGAATGATTTTGTGCTTAAAATCGCCTCATTTGCATCGAGTGGCAGAGCCAGGAGAAAGTGTGTGTGTGTGTGCGTGTGTGTGTGTGTGTGTGTGAGCTGCCATTACAGAGAGTTGCAGCTCATTAACAGGCCAGGAGGGAGCCGGTACTGTACATGTTCCCCCGGTCCGTCCCCACTGTCTGGGTATTTCTGGACTCACACACATGCACACACATACTGTCTTATCTTGTTTTCTCTCCATCTTTAATCTTAGCTGCTGTCAGTATTACCCTCCCATTTACCAGCTTGTTTTATGTGCTAATAACTACCCAAAGCTTTGACACGCACAGCACAAGTTTTTTTTTTGCTCTGTTTTTTTTAATGGCAATAATTTGCGCAAAGTAGTTACTGCACGCAACCGTGTAATGCAACAAACTGTAGAGCATTATCAACACAAACTCGTGCTTTAAAACATCCGAATATCTCACATGAGTTCATCTTATTCAGCTTGTTATTCATGGAGATATGCGTGGAGGCAAATCTTGGCTCCAAGTTTTATATAAGTCTTAATTTTATGAAAAAGATCGATGTCAAAGCAGTGGTCCAACAAACAAAATAGACGTCCCCAATTCAATTAGTGTAGTGCGTTTTCATCTGCGGCCATTCATTCTGAATGCTTGGTCATCCCTTGCTCGCGTCCTCATCGGGTCGGGGATGGTTTCTGTCTGCAGTGAATCATGTGAGGATACAGCAGCAGGATCATCATCACAAGCGCAGCTCCTTCTCAGGTTTTTACACGAGCAGTGGCCGCAGACCCCTGTGGCTGTGTGCAAGCTGGCTGTGGAAGGAGAGGGGTGTAGTGTGCACATATAGTGTGCACGAGTAAAAGGGCCATTGGGTGTGGCGTTCGCTGTATAGCACAGCAACAACATATTTGTGTCAATGCTGTGAAACACAGGTGTGTTTAATCGGTTGATTTGCAAGCTCTAGTCACGTTTGGTCTGGCTTGTATGTTACATAAACTGGATAGAATCTTCATTATGTTTATACATGCACTTCTTCAGATAAATAGGCTTGTTGAATTTGTTGAAAGTTTTTCCAGTTTTATAAAATGCATATTTGTGGAATACTGTGTTCCATTTTAATCTGGAAACATTTTGTAAATCAAACCAGTCTTGACACAAATACATACGTTGGTAAGTCGTATTTTTTCATTGTGTCTGGTAACAGTTCCTAATCCTAATGTGCTGAGGTACTTTAATACTAATTTGTTTTTCACTGCATTCTAACAAGGATAGTCATCGACATTGTCAGTTGTATACTTTGCGTTTCAAGGTATTTTATAAAATATCACCTTTTATTTTCTACATTTTATTAATTTGTTTTTTAAAGTACAAGTATTTTTTTATTATCTTTAATGCCTTTATTTGACGGAGGATGGGGGTCTGCCACGTTGAGAGCCGCGTGGAGGCAATAGCTATGCTCTGATTTCCGTACAGAGAACCTTTTTCACGTATTTCTAGTTACCAAAAGTAAAACATTTCACATGAGCTCTCAACTGCAGCTCTCATCCACAGAAAGTGGACCTTGAGTTTTATTTCCCCGGTCAGTAATGACGTCTCATACTCAACATGTACCTAAGTATTAGCAGAAAGAAATTAATAGTATGTTTGTATTTTTACTCTTCAATTCATTCCCATCCCATTTCCCCCAGTTTTTAACTGGAAATTAATACATATGCAAATACTGGAGCACATCATTACCATTAATAACATTACACTTGTTCTTCTTTTATGTTTCTTCGTCGTTTTGTATTTTAGTAGCCAGTTGTTCAGAGTCTGGCCTATTCAGACTGGGCTATTGTTTTAAATACAAGTTCAAATAAGTATTTTTCAATAAAATTCAGCAAAAGCTGAGGAGGGCAGAAGCACAGGTAACGACAGTGTAATGCTTATTGCAGTATTTAATACTATATTACCAACCCGCTGCATTAAATACATATAAGTAAAATTACTGTAAAGAGGGTAATAAAATAACAAGAGATGGTGCATTTACTATTCAAATGGCAAATAATTCCCCTTCACCGGCAATATAACGCACACATCAGACCGCGCGTCACATGGCCATGTGTGCGAGCGTGCATATGTGTGTGTCACTTAGAGGACATTTAAGTCCTTTGTTCTTCATCACAGACTCGATAACAAAGACAGTCCAGTTTAATTCGATTTTTAATGAGCGGTTTAACACATCGCCAATTGCTTCAGCGGGCGCCGAAACATGTTGTAAAAGTTGTTTAAATTTCAGTCTCATTGCCGTGTTGCTGATCGCGAATGGGACTTAATTTGCACCCTTTCATTTTAATTAATGACATATATGAGAAGTTGTTTAACAAAACTATTACTGACGGTGTGAAAGCATATCAGATGGAACTTTAATTAATTTAGTCTCATAATTGAAAAATACAGTTAAAACATTGCAGCTGGTGAAATATAATTTGCAGAATCAGTCACGTTTGTTTTTCATATTTCAGTGGATTGCATTTATATTCCAAAGGGACATAATATGAGTATATCAAACAAATGTGCACATTAACAAATAAAGAAGCATAAAGAATGGTTAAAAAAAACCATTAATTACCAACAATAGATGCCCTGGTTGATAAAACTCAACTTTGGTGCTTGAATGTGTGTGTGGTGTGTGTGTGTGTAGAGAACAAGATAGAAAGTGTGTGTGTGTGTGTGTGTGTGTGTGTGTGTGTGTGTGTGTGTGTGTGTGTGTGTGTGTGTACAGTATGCTTAATTAGTTGGACAGATTGTAAATCTGAAATTGTTCAAACACAGCAGGACCGAATCATTGTCTCTCACATGCACACACAGTCGTGTTTCCATCACTTTAGAGCACATTATATTGACTTACATTCATTTCCTGGAGACTTATCACAACCAGGCGGAAACCTCCGGTTGTTGCCTGACTTCGTAAATCGCCGAACTTGAGGCTTCAAAGCGGCAGTCCACAAACCAATGGGTGACGTCAAGATGACTACGTCCACTTCTTATACAGGCTATGATCATAACCCTAACCGCTACTTGCCTAATCTTAATCCTAACAGTGAACCAATGTGACTGTAAACAGATTTATGTCCTCACAACTAGAGTAATAAACACACAAAAACACACACACACACTCAAATTCTCACACACTAAAAAGAAGCAGTCCACTGTTTTTAAAGATTTACGTAGAGTGTGCATAGTTAGAAAATACAGACAGCTAAGTTGGCGAGTTGGCTGGACTGAAACA